ACTCTCTCAATCTCTTCTTACCGTGAGGAAGTGAGTCCAACTTGAGAGTCCTCTCTTTTGGTGAGGTGTCGTGAGCGCGCTACCTTGAGAGACGACAATCTTCTCGGAAGCAGCTGGAAGGAGAAAGGGCGGTGCCTCTGAAGGGCCCTGGTCGAAGCACAGGGTCACGGTCACCATGCCAACCCAATGGGAGTAGGTCATGCATGCGATGGCTGCTGTCCATTTTGGCACTTGCTGCGCTGAATAGAAGTCCTGCCAGGTGTGCCAGCGCATGACAGACGCTTACCAGACCGTCTATAAAGATTTCTGGTTGGGAGTTCATTGTGATTCTGGTTGTGATCGTCGTCGTGACTACGACGTTAAAGGATTCCTGAAGTGATGGGGGCGCTCTATAAATTCCTCCTGATCAGCCAGATCACATGGACAGGAAGGCTCGTCGCCGTACGAAGGTAAATAAGAGTGGTTGGGCTGGCTTGCTCGGTAACGACTTGGGCACAGGGGTGGGCCGACAAACACACGAAGACACCGCTTGCTCGGTAACGACTTGGGCACAGGGGTGGGCCGACAAACACACGAAGACACCGCTTGCTCATTGATGCTGTCCGGTATGTTGGATTGAGGGGAGGGTAGGTTCCAATTGGTGCTCAACTGTATAAACAACCCACTCATCATACATCTGCAACATGGTCTTTTTGTATCTTTGATTAGTTGGTGGACAGACTGCTAACACCTCACAGACAGATTAGATTAGGATTGTTGTATGCTACCATAGCCAGTTCTGTCTAATGCTGCTGTAAGTGAACCAATCAGAGTACATCTAGACTATGTAGACAATCTGTTGTGAATGTTGTAGACATGCCACTTGATCGGTACAGTAGGGGACTTGCCGGACACAACTATTTTTATAAAATTAGGTGTCACATGCTGTGGTAGGATTCCACTAGGGGATTCTAGTGCAGAAACTGTTTGCCTAACTGATGAGCGGAACAGATCCTGTTGATGATAGAGCAGACAATAGGAGACTAACACGTGCGGAAGCACTTAGGGTCCCGCACGTGTTCTAGGCCCTACAACCGGGAGGCGAAAGACGGCTTATAGCCGAACGTAGAGCCCGTGCACTAGCAGCAGCTAGGGCCACAGTAAACGCCACAGCTAGGGAGCAGGCTGCCGCAGCAGCCAGGGCATTAGCGATGTCTTCTGCACGAGTAGCATCCTCGGTTGCGTCTTCATCTGCGACCAATGGGACCATGTTGGGAATGCCAACAAGTTCCACGGGCACTTCCAGTTCAATGGGTTCTCGACAGTCTACTAGTCAAATGGCGGGCTCGCAGTTCGGCCCGTTGACCCCACGTGAGAGGGAGCTCAGAGAGATCCAACAAGTCGAAAGGCTCCGTGAACTGTTAGAGAGGGGTCTGAAGAAAGCAACTGATAGAGAAAGAGAGATGAAAAATAGAGCAGCCAGGCTTGATACTTTAAAGGCTGACAAGGCTGAGTTAGAGGGCTTGGATGAGTCATCAATGAATGACCAAATGAAAACACTGAAGAAGAATATGTTGTCGTTGCGTGCACACGTGGACAGCAGATTAAACTTCATGCAGAGCACTCTAGACCAGATCCTGAATGTATTGACAAGGCCAGGATTCAGGCCACCAGCACAATCGTCGTTGCTGTTATCGGCGATGTCAGGCCCCTTTCCAGTTCAAGTTGGTACACAACCAAGTGGTACGTCTGCAGCAGTTGCACAAACTGTTGCATCTTCTTCTTCGGGTCCAGCGGTGGGAGCTACACCACCGCAACAACCTGTTCCTCAACAGGGACAGCCCCAAGGTCAATGGTACCCTAAGACCCCAATGAAACCACCTCTTGCCTTCTCAGGCGAGAGAAAGGATGAAGAGCTCAACACTTGGTTGAGGACAGTCCTGGTTTGGGTGAAGGCCAAGAGGACCTTGCTGGAGGACAAAGTGGTTACCGCTGCATCTTACCTCGAGGGTAAGGCAGCCAAATGGCTAGATGGTGTAGTTGTAAAAGTCGGGTACGGGTGACACATGGCGGACTGGCTAAGTCTTTAACATTATACCAGTTCATGGAGATGGTAGAAGCTCGATGGCATAATCCACAAGAGGCACAAAGAGCCACTGATGCGATTAACAAGTTAGACCAACGAAAGTTCAAATCGGTTAGAGAGCTTACGACTACCGTTGAGAGCCTGATCCTCGTTCCAAGCATCAATTACAGTGACCAGTTCCTGTTAACTACGTTTGTTAGATGTCTTCCAGAGAACATCAGGAACTTGCTGGCCAGTGAGGCACGCGTCGAGTACCATTCGTTTCAGACATTGTTTAGGAAAGCCTTAGATTTGGAGGCCACTCTAGGCAATGCTCAACCCTCCTAGAATGACACGAAGAAGAAGAAGAGTCCTCAGGAGTGGAAGAAGAAGGGGGCGAAGTTGATGATGGTTGAGTCCGATGGGACTCAAACGGAAATCGATGAGCTCACTGACCTGATGGACTACTCAGAGTACGACGGCGAGGAGACCGTTGAGGGTAGCACCCTCGCCGCAGTTGTAAAGGCTAAGGCAGGTGGCCGAGGAAAGGGCCAACCAAGGAGTCAAGGGAAGGCCGCCTTCAATCAGACCAAGCAGGCTGATTGGGTGAAGGCAGGTCTTGATCAAGACGTGTGGCGTGATCGCCGAGTGCGTGGCACTTGTATCAACTGCGGGGAATACAGTCACTCGCAGTACAAGTGCCAGAACGCAAAGGTTACGCAGAAGATTGCTCCAAAGATGGGGCATCTTATTCCCAAGCTTCTAGCTTGGGAAACGCGTGAGGCCAATGGAAGTTTTAGCTGCTTCTACTCTTGGTGAAGTGGGCCAGATACCCTCCCCACTTCACGAGAAGGCCAAAGCTAATGACTCTTTAGTCACCCCGCAGACTCATCTAGACCAAACTATGCTCTGTACGTTAGATGTGTCTGATGCCTTGGAAGACTTGGAGAGTGAGTGGTCAAACAAGGACCCTCGCGAGTCTTGGGTGGCTCTAAGGAAAGGTCCTAGAGGGGAACATTTCGTGGTGGAAGTCGATGTAGGAGGCCGCAAATGTGGTGCCTTCATAGACATAGGCTCTACGCGGAATTACATAAGTCGCGACTGTTTGGAAAGGTTGCACCTACAGGACCGGGTACGGCACCTTAGTAGACCTGTAGCATCTACTTTGGCCAACAAGGAACACATGATAGTAACAGACTATATCAGGGACGTAGTCTGTACCTTCTCCTATGGAGGAGGAGAACTTAATCATAAGATTTCGTTCTTGGTTAGCGACGACTTACCATTTGACATGTTGTTAGGCATGTACTACCTCGAAGTTGCTAAGCCCCAGTTYGACTGGGATAARAAGGTGCTCAAGCATAAGTTGCCCRATGGCCGAACTGTYAGATTGACTAAGTTCAAGGCCAGTAGCATWATAGATACCTATGGYTGCTTGTGTGCATCAGCGTTCTACAATTACTACAAGCAAAACCAAGAGGAAGGTATGTACCTTGTGTATGTCTCTGAGAAAGGGGAGGCCGTTAAAACACCCCCAGAGATAGAACGCGTCGTTGCTAAGTTCCCTGATCTGTTCGAAGAGCCTAYAGGGGTCGTAGAAAGGGAAKTTGTCCAYGCTATAGAAATCATTCCAGGGAGTAAAACCCCAAAGGGAACGATCTATAGGATGGCTCCCGCCAAGTTAGATGAACTCAGGCGACAACTGAAAGAGCTGACAGAGAAGGGATGGATTCGGCCTAGTACTTCCCCTTACGGATCACCCGTTCTATTCGTACCAAAGAAGGGGGGTACATTGAGGATGTGCATTGACTATAGAGGCCTCAATGCCATCACTGTGAAGAACGCAGAGCCTCTACCTCGCATAGACGACCTATTGGATAGGGTGCAGGGATGCAAGTACTATAGCAAGATAGACTTGAAATCCGGCTATCATCAGATCGCTATAAGGCCTGAGGACCAACACAAGACAACTTTTCAGACTCATTATGGTCTGTATGAGTTTGTAGTGATGCCTTTTGGTCTTTGTAACGCGCCGGGAACATTCCAGCACGCTATGAATCGGATCTTCCATAACCATTTAGATAAGTTTGTCGTGGTATACCTTGATGACATTCTGATCTTTAGTAAGTCTGTCGAGGAGCACGCACAACACGTTGAGACTGTACTTTCACTCCTGCGACAGTACAAGTATAAGGTCGACTTAGGGAAGTGTGAGTTTGGTCGCACTAAGATACTATACTTGGGTCATGAAGTATCCGCGGAGGGGATTAGGCCGGAAGATGCGAAGGTGGCTAGTATTCGAGACTGACCACGACCTCAGACAGTCACTGAGGTCAGATCATTCTTAGGAATGTGCGGCTACTATAGGAACTTCGTTAAGAACTATTATACAGTCGCCTCTCCTTTGACTGATCTAACTCGACTTGACACGCCGTGGTACTGGAGTGATGAGTGTGAGGGTGCTTTCAAGAGATTGAAGCATGCACTCGTGAATCATGAGGTCCTCATGGTTCCTGATCCTCAGAAGCCATTCATAGTGACCAGTGACGCAAGCCAATATGGCATTGGCGCAGTGCTGGCTCAGCAGGATGGGAAAAAGTTGAGACCAGTTGAGTACATGAGCAAGAAGATGACATCGAAGAAGTTGGCAAAGTCCACCTACGAAAGCGAACTCTATGGTCTATACAAAGCACTTGTCCATTGGAGACACTTCCTATTGGGAAGGTTCTTCTACTTGAGGACTGATCGTCAGACCCTCAAATGGATCAAGACTCAACCGGCTCTTTCTGATGCACTCAAGCGATGGATTGAGGTCATAGACCAATATGACTTCAAGCTTGAGTATCTGAAGGGAGAGTATAACAAGGTTGCTGATGCGCTATCACGTAGAGCAGACTACCTAGGTGCGCTAGTTTCTGACTTTGGCGTATCTGAAGAACTCAATCATTGGTGGGAGCCTATCAGGAAGACCCTGTCACGATGGACATCATGCGCAAACTTCAGGCAAAAGACGAGGCCACAGAAAGTGAGTTTGTGATGGTGGACGAGTTACTCTACCTTATAAGGCCGGAATAAAAAGATTAGTAGTTCCATCTAGTGAGCGATTGCATAGTTTGTTTTTAGGCGAATGTCATGACGCAACTGGGCACTTTGGCTACAAGAAGACGAGTGCTAACCTAGTACAACGATTTTGGTGGCCAGGAATGTTAGATGACGCAAAGAAGTACGTAGAGACCTGTCAGGTCTGTCAGCGGGACAAGCTGCGAACTCAAGCACCGCTTGGGTTGTTGAAGCCTTTGCCTATTCGTGCTTGTCCAGGACAGAGTGTTTCCATGGATTTCATGGACACCCTGGTGACTAGTAAGAGTGGCAAGAGGCACATCTTCGTCATCATCGACCGATTTACCAAGTACGCTAGACTAGTGGCTATGCCAGAGACCGCAAGAACTAACTCTGTCATCAAGTTGTTCAAAGACAACTGGGTGCGTGACTTTGGTTTACCAAAGTCAATCGTTAGTTACCGAGATGTCCGATTCACAAGTGAGTTGTGGAAGAAGACTGCAGAACAGATGGGCAGTCAACTTCAGATGACTTCAGGGAATCATCCGGAAGCCAACGGACAAGCCGAGCGAATGAACAGAGTTGTACAACACTTGCTGAGGCATTACATCAAGCCCAACCAGGATGAATGGGATGAGCAGTTGCCTCTCATCGCCAGCCTGTACAACAATGTTGTCCACAGCAGTACCGACGTTAGTCCTAATCAGCTACACTTGGGATGGAAGCCTAGATCAGCATTAGACTTCCTCCTACTTGAAAATCGACCCGCTGCAACTCCAGGCACACTTGAGTATGGTGTGCAGTATGAGAAGTTGTTGCAAGAAGCTGTCGAGCACATGAAGAAAGCTCAGCAAGCAATGATTGCTTCTGAGAATCAACACCGTAGACAGTCCACATTTCAGGTAGGGGAACGTGAATGGGTCAAGGCTAGTGAGTTAGGACAGGAATTCGGAATCTCTTGCAAACTAATGCCCCAGTACTTTGGTCCCTGGGAAATCCTGGATATAGTGGGATGGTCCCACATATGTCATTCGTGTCCCTGGACACCTACGCACTCACCCAGTCTTTCATGCCTCAAAGCTTGCACCTTTCGCTGAGACAGATCAATTCCCTTCCAGGAGATCGATGCTGCCCCCAACCATGGATGGTCAAGTGGACATTGACGACATTGTGGATCACAGGGATATGCCTGTTCCAAAGCCGCTGGGTCGCGGAAGACCTCCAAAACCCAAGAGAGAGTATCGCGTCAGATTCAGGCATCATACGGATCCAAAAGAAGATCGGTGGTTTACCAGAGAGGAACTGATTGAGACAGCTCCTCAGGTGGTGGCAGAATATGAGAGACTGCTGAAAGGGAAGGCACCTGCGAAGTAAGCATCTCAGCGGACTTTCGAAGCTAAGGGGGATGTAATGTGAGGATTAAGCCCTCAAGAAGGGGCCTTGCCATGATGTACATGTTCTGGGCTAAGGCCCCAGCAAGCCTAGTGCCCGCCCTAAGTGAAGGCCGGCCAGCAAATCATCAAGAGCCCTCTGTGCAAACATTTCACGAAGTGGGGTCCATACAGTTGCAGCATGCCTGTTGGTTGGAGTGCACCGAGTCTCGAATCTCTGCAAATGTGGAGATCCCATGGCCTCTGAGTTAGTTAGGCCCTGGGCACTTGAACGTGAGGCCGACAATGCATGCTGGGTATAGAGGCCGAAAATGCCAAAGGGAAATCGGCCCACTATCTGAATCTGGCCGCAGGCCTTGACGAAAGAGGCGCAACTGCATCACCCGGGCCCCAACTGYATYGGGCCTRGGTTCAGSCAYYGGGGCCYAGTCGCAGGCTGAAGGGAGGCCGCCCACACGCAGCACTGGCATATAGGCAAGCAGGGCGAGTGGGCAGGGATCTTGGCCATTGCGGGCAATGCCGGCACGCTCCGCTAATGCGAGCTGCTGCGCTAAGGCAGGGTGCAAGACAGGCATGCGCTAGGCGGTAGGGCGCTGCCTGTGCACTGTGCACTGGCGGCCATAGCCGGGCTGCATAGGGCGCAGGGGAGGTGAGGGCGAAGGTGGTTCTTCGGAGGTGAAGGGCGTTGTATGGGTAACAAGGGAGAGTGTGGGTGAAGAGGACACGTACCTGGTGGAGGTGGAGGTCGGCATTGGTGTTGACATCATCACTCGCTGGTAGTCAAGTTGTCTGGTTGCTTTCATTGCTGTAGTTGTAGGCTTAGTCTGTAGAGTAGATAGGGCACCTGGCGCCATTCACAAGAGAGAGCTACATTGGGTTATGTTGTTGGTGTTGCCCTGTTGGGCTTGGACATTGACTCACGATTCTTCTGTATCATTCTCAAATGGATGGTTACTCGGTTCCATTGTGCTATCTGCTCTGGCTTTGACTACTTGGACTTCAGTGTGATTTTGCATTCTGGATTTCTGTGCTTCGTCCATATTCATGTTCCTTGCAGAAGGGAGATGTGAATGGCCGCTGGCTCAGTGGTTAGAGCACCAGTTGGAAATGCGCATTGTGGTATGAGGTTGCGGGTTCAAAACTCAATTGCAGCCTCGTGCACCCACACTGGTAAGCGCTTTCGTAACACACAAGCCATTCACCCCCCCGCTTTGGGACAGCACATGGTAAGATTTATACAGACACTGCCTGCGCACCGCCCAAGTGACTGAGTGCACAGTGATCACCTGGAGCAGTAGGCCGTGGGTGTCCTAGAATATGAGACCACCTCCCAAGTGACTGAGTGCACAGTGATCACCTGGAGCAGTAGGCCGTGGGTGCCCTGGAATATGAGACCACCGCTCATCCCATCCTCATGTCAATACTCAGCGCACCCCCTATCCCACTATCCTACCTCAGTGTGACCAGCACGCAGGACCATTACCCTACCAATGGGCAGGTAACTTGGACCGAACAACAGTGTTAGGCACCAGTGCTGATACGTTGCCCAACCCTGGTGGAAGCAGAATCGGACAAGCCTTGTCGAATGGGAACTTCGAACGGCAGGCACAGACAATCTACTACAGGACCAAGAGACTCCGGGCCCTAGGTTCAGACAGGGTGGCACCCATTGAAGCAGTCTTACAGTCCTTCCCTAGCTTACCCAAGGCCAGGTGGAACTCGGGCTGGCCTGAGCGACTTATACTCCTACCCTTACCCTAGGGTATAAGCCTTACCTGTATAGCTGCCAGACAGTTCTATCCGAATAGCAGTAGAACTCCAGCGGCCCTTACCTGTACCTACAGCAGATACTAGAATCCACCCATTGACTAGACCCCCCCAGTCTGATAGTTGTGTAGTTCGCAATACCCGAAGGCTATGTATACTCCGTGTATCTATGTGTAAAGATGTACAGACAACACCATGTGTGGAAACTTGTGTATAGGCAGCATCATGTGTATATCGAGAGAGAACGGGGTAAGCTGGACAAGGAGTGCCCCAACGTCCGAACCAAGCTCGAACCCGTGACCTTGTAACATGTAATCGAATGACTCTACCATGTGACCGACTAATGGAAATGGCACGAACATGTGATATGCCAGACTGGGGAGATCAACCTAGACATTGAAGAAAAATGTGCTCAATTGTCTCTGCTCTTTTCCTAGCTGGGAAATTATCAGTGCAGCGCGGACACCATGGGAGGGACCTGCCCAGTTGCTCTAACTGTGAGTGGTCAATCAGCCAATTATTTGTTGGAAGACAGCGATGCGTAATTTGCCACTGGAGGGACGTAACCTTGGCTGGTCTGGATTTGCAGTCGTGGAACCACCACATGGGAGTCTGGAGTTGTCTGTCAATGTTCAGATATCGTTGCCACCTATCGACCATGAGCATCCTATAAGTTGCTTTTATTGAAAGTTTAGAAAGCCTTTTGTTTTTGGGCACTCCAGATACCGGGGGTCTCTCAGGCGTCCAAGACCATTCCTCAAGGTCCAGGGGTAACCACTCTATCGGGGTTTCAGGGCGGTAAGCCCGCCGCTCCTCCTCATCCTCCTGGACTCTCACTATGTGTACTTGTCTTTTTTCAATCCACACCAAGGGGTCCGTACTTCCGGCCAGACGATCGTCTCTTCCCACCGTGTATTTCTCGATCAGGGCGTCGTTGGGCCTGAGGAGGTGTACCAGACCTACCCAACCTTTCACTCTTGCCTTCCCCACCAAGTCCCCTTCCTTTAACCCACGCCCTCGTCGCAGGATAGGAAGCCAACCTAGCGGGAGGGCCTCTATAATTTCTTCTAGTGCTGCATCCGTATTATGACAGTAACGCAGCTCCTCCCTCAATTGTTCCGGTAGCTTCCAGTCCTTTCTGTCATTATCCCAGATATCACCCACCCGCATCACCCCGTTTTTTACCCAACCCCTCCACGGGGAATCTGAAGCACAAAGCCACTTATGCGAAAATATGTATCCCCTTTGTCCACGTGGAACTATTTTATATATTTACCTATTCCCTCCCCCACCCTCCATTCTCCTTCGGAGCTCTCACCCTGACGCCTAGGATCTTCGCTACTTCGTCCACGTGGCTATGTAGTTTTCAGGTAACTTCTTCGCAGTTGATCATGCTTCCCCTTTGAATAGCAGTGAAGACACGGACGATTATCATTGTTAAGGAAGCCGCTCTGTGACGCCTCTGTTTTCACCTTTTGCACGCAGTTTGGTCAACTCCATCAAGCTCCCTCCGCTGCTCTCCACCAGTGGCAGTCAAGATCTTGACACCGACGCCTTTTTGCCGCCCATATAACGACGACGACTATGGAGGCTATCGCGGGAGCTGGGAGAACCGCTTGGAACGAAAGCCCGTGACCGGGCTCCTCCTTGCAGATCTCCCGGCTCAGCTATGACGTCGCATCAACCCATGACGCGTCGTTAGCTAGTGCTCGGCTGACTTCCGTGCGCACCCCGGCCCTATGGTAGTCTAAGTTCGCTCTGTGTGGACTTTCGTAGGGGTGCCATAGTGACATGAAACGTGCTAGTTGTACCCAGGCTCTACCATGTCACCCCCACAGACTAGTACATACTTGCGAGATTGACAGATCGGACTCCGAGGGTCCAAGTGGCCATGCAGAGGTATTGGCGGTTTCGACAGTTCAAGCAGTTTTGTGGTCATCGACAGTCTAGGTGTTTCTTCGGTTACTATCGACAGTCCAGGCAGTAAACCCTCCCCCTTTAATCTACCCTAGTACGGTAGGACAGGAGAAGGATGGTATTAACCCTTGTTCAACAACCTGCTCAGTCAATCCTCTGAATTCATAGTAAACAATGTTGGCAGGAGCTTGGGACCTGGTTTCCAGTTGTGGAGTTGGCAGGG